GATATATATATATGTATTTCTCCTTAAATAACATATTTACATCTAATAGAAAATATAACTCTAGAGATAATCTTTCCAACCAAAACTGAAATTGGTGACAGGGAAGGGAATAAAATAATGAACTAAGGGTAGATTTTGCAATCTTGTCCAAGAAAAAGAAAAAAAATCCAAAGCCAGACCACCTGCACCCAAACCCATTCAATACTGCCTCCCACCTCCTCCCCAGGGAAATTCATCGCTTTTCCTTAAAGAAGCCTTGGTCTGTGCTGCTCTCCTTAATGGTAACTGTCAAGAAATTTGAGGTCACATCAGTCACTACCACCTTCTCCAGGTTGTTAAGAGATGGGCTCCAAGCTTCTTCTTCTGGATCACCAAGGATCCTGGAGACAGGGATGCGGGCAATGAGGGAAGGCCTGCCAGCCTGTGTCCCTATACCATCCCCGTATAAGCTGCTTTGATTTGCAGAGCTGTGCAAAATCTTAGGGACACCCAAGTCCAAACCACTTTGCCCTTTCGGATCAAGGAAATCTGCCCTGTGCTTGTTCAGCCGGGGAGCATAAGTCTCAGGGGCACCCAGCTTAATGCCAACTTCTGCCCTAGTGCTAGACCCAGCACTGGGCAATTCGGGCTCCCGCCTTCGGGCTAACTGAATCACACTGTGTCCTGAACTGAACTTGGCTGCAGAAGGGTTAGCCGCCTCTTCCAACTTTCTGGCTTTCAGATAATCCACCACCACCTTGTCTCCTGGTTCCACTGACTTTCTCTTGGAAGCAGCCTCAACAGTTTCAGCTAGGTCTTTGTAGAGCTCTTTCCTAGGCTTTGGGCCTCGTTTTTTGAAGGCGCCTTCAGACCTGTCTTCTTCTGTCTCAACCCTGTTCTCCTGGATCATGTCCACTCGGGAGGCACTGGTGGGAGCACTGACAGAGCTGCTTTGATGGGGCAGTGGGATTTGTCTCAGTCCTTCTCTAGCCCGGGAGGTGGAGCCCAGGTCTTGGGGGGCTCTTCCAGCATAAGGCACCCGGATTCCCCGAGAAGAGTCGCTACGGAACTCATAGGTTTTGGCTTTGGCTTTGGCCTGGGCCTGCAAAAGAGAGAAATGAACTGGGTTGTTGGAGTCACTCTCCATAGGCATCCCACCCATGAAACTTTAAAATATGGTAATGCTTCTGTTCTCCTCAACACATACTCGTAGGCCCAATGGAAAAGGAATAAGAGGAATTCATCTTTTGCACTGCTGCCTTTCCAATACACACACACACACAGATACATACACACACACATACACATATAATGGTTTCTGCTGCACAGAGTAATAAACCAGCAACACAGAAAGCATAGTTATTGCTTTCCTCTTCCCTTACCTTTAATAGGAAGGTTTTGGGTTTGGGACCTCTTTTCTTAGGACCATAAAGTTCCATTTCTCTCTCCCTAAATGAGGTTTAAAAAACAAACACACATCTATTTAAACAACAACAGAACATTAGTTCAGTACTGCTCCAAAATACTAATTCAACCCACCTTGAATCTCATTGTGGAAGAAACGTGGGATATAAACCCTTTAAATAAAATAAAGCAAATAACCTAGGGCTGCAATTGTTACAAGGGAGACAGTCCCCCCCCCCTCCTTCCCACCAAACAGTGTACCTTTCCTCAAAAGCTGCCAGCAAGCGAGCATCTAGGATGTTTTCCTCAGGTTCCCAGGTGCTGTATCTAGCAGAGAAAGGGAGGGAGAAAAGAGAACTAAAATGAGACGGCCTTTAAAAAAACAAAACCACTTTTTTCCTGGTTTATCCAAGAGTGCAAGACAATTTAAAAGGTCACCTGCTCCATTCATCTAGCCAGACCATTTACTCCACTACACCCACCACTGAGCACACAACATATAATGAAGCCAAATCCACTTCACTGTCTATTTATTAGGCTGCAAGGATTGCACTGTCACAAGGAGCTACTTACTTCTGAGACCAGCCTTTCCATTTCACCAGATATTCCATCCGACCCTGCAGACGTCGAAAAATAGGAAATAAATTAGGAGGCATTGCAGGAGAAGGGGGGGG